ATTTTTTCTTTTTATATATGACAACTAGGCAGCAATATCTTGCCTGCATAATTTTCATAGGATATCATTCTTATAATAAAAGTTTACAACAAATTTTTGCTGCAAGTTGTACACTATTTTGAGATTAGCTGACATTATGGCATCACTGATTATATCATTCCAAAGAACTTGTGGACGATTTGAAATCACAAGATTTAAAAAATTTAACAGCATAAAAAATTAAAAAAAGATATTTAAAAATTTGTACATTCCCGAAGATAATTTAAAGTCCAGGCTTTTTTATATCATTGACAGCTGCTTTTTAAATAAAAAATTGTTTTGCTAAAACACATTCTGATTGCACACACAACGTACTCTGAAGTTGACATCAAAGAGATGCTTGAGTTTCTGATTCACAATATCTATGTGGATTTTGACGACCAGGTATTCTAACGATCTATTGGAATTCCCATGGGTACTAAATGCGATTCGTTATAAGCAGACCTATTTTTAGCCGGGCTTATTGCTCAAAGAGCAATTGCCAGCTTATGTGATCCTGTTCAAGGCAGGACGTTGACCCCATAGTCGCCATTTTAAAGTAACGTGCAAAAATATAGTTCTTACTCTCAACCGCTTTTGAGATAATACAAACGCTAAATAAAGCAACAAAAATAAAACGAAGTTTTACCTATATAAAATAACCATTAGTAGTAATGACTTTGAAAACTTTATAAGTCAAAGAACACAGTTCATTAGCGTAAGGATTTTTAACAATCAATTTTACCGTAGTTCTCTCCACATACGAGGTAAAGCAGGAGAGGGAACCAGACTGGCCTATTTGTTTACATTCAGCTGCGGTACCAGATTAATTCTTATTCTGACAAAATTGGACCATGGTATTAAGATTGAAAAACTCATTGTCAGTGTCTTATCATTTATATTGATAGTTTTAAAATTAATTTTTTCATCAGAATATAAACGTGATTCATGTAAGAAATCCATTCTACTCTGTAAATGAGCCCGGCTCTCTGTACTTCTGAGTACTTTGATTATATTCATATGAAGCAGAATTTGTGCAAAATCTTATGCGTTAAAGAATAAAAACTTGCTGTGGCCTTCAACTCGACTTCTAGATATATTGACGACGTATGATGTCAACCTTCCCTTACTTATGCAGCAATATACCTTCATCACCTGCATAAGGAGTATATAAGGAGTATATATATCTCAATTGATTCGATACGCAAGAGCATGCTCTACGTATGAACAATTTCTAAAATGAGGTATATTATTAACAAACAAGTTGATTAATCAAGAATATCAGCAGACTCGTTTAAAGTCCTAAATTTGTAAGTTTTACGGTCGATAGAATGATTTTGTCAGCAAATACAATTTATCATTGAGTCAAATGCTGACTGATGTTTGTCATACCAATTTTTAGTCCAATAATTACACACTGAATTGACAACGGATTTTTCCGTTATAACCTGTTTATGACAGGGAGCACACGGCGGGTATAACTAGTCAGCAGGAGATGCTCACTCCTCCATGGCACCTGATCGCACCTCTGATGTTTTTGAGGTCCATGTTTGCTCTGCTCCTATTTTGTATTGTTTTATTGACTTTGATATTAAATACCGTTCGTTATCAACATATCCTTCCATCATCAGTTTGCAATATCATTATTTTAGATCAATCTTCTTACCTATAGTGTTTTGGTATTTTTTTTTTGTATCATACTCGATATTCCGATTATGCCCATTTAGAAAGGTGACATATAGTGTGAAAAACCCTGTATATAGAATAATAATTTTGGGCAGTCCGTGAATTCCTTAATGGAGCCATTTCACAAAAACTGAGAGAGTGCGTATTGTCTAAAACATTATTTCGGCCATCCTTAGTTCAGTATTGCTAACCAAAATATTTTATCTTTTCGAGTTAAAAACCTTAAAGGATTTAGCATTCTGGCCCCCTTGTGACCGCTAAATACGCCATTTATACATGTAACTAAACTATATGATAAACATGATGACTTTAACTTTTCTATCGTCAACTTCCCTTACTTATGCAGCAATATACCTTCATCACATGCATACGGAGTATATATATCTCAGTTGATTCGATACGCAAGAGCATGCTCTACGTATGACTAAAGTCAAATACTTACTGTGGTCTTTCATACCAATTGTTAGTCCATTATTAATTCACTGAATTGACGACAGATTTTTCCGTTATTTCCTGATCATGACAAGGAGCACACGGCGGGTGTGACCGGTCCGCAGGGGATGCTCAACCCTCCATGCCACCTGATCCCACCTCTGATTTTTCGGAGTTCCGTGTTTGCTCTGCTCTTATTTGGTATTGTTTTATGGACTTTGAGATTGAATATTGTTCGTTATCTCTGTATCCTTCCTCCATATGATAAAAATATTCTTAAAAGATATTGTTGCAAATTGTTAAGATAACATCTTTGATTGAATAATGTATAAGTATTGATCCTGAGAGGCTCCTAGATGAAGGACTTTTGGTCCCTCTGAGTCCCTAATTTGAGTCAGTCCTCTTATCTGATATCAATCAAGAGAACTTTGATTCTTAAGATTTTTTGTTCAAAGCCTTTCAAAAAATTCCTCTTCGTTGAGGAGATACTGTATTCTACTTAAAAATATTTAAGGTTCAACCCGGCAAGTCCTTGAAACGGCTGTTTTTGCAGGAGTCAGCCGATAATTTATTGCGATTGCATGCATGAAAATGCTTTCCGGGCTGTTTCTCGGAGATGGTTGGAAAATCTTCCTGAAACTCTCCTCAAAAGACGATCACTGATTGTGGTTTTGTTGTGTGGACAATCAGTTTCAAAATGGCTACCGTTACAATGAAAACTTGAGAGAAAAAGATAATTTTGTCCGAAATTGTTTTCTCTGTTACCGGATACTTTGAAAAGAGATCATGAAACTTTATTATAGTAATGATTAGTATTGTAGTTGGGCGAGTCGCATTTTAAATTTTCAAATAACCGATTGTTGCCAGGGAAAGTGAAAATTCTTTAACTTCGATTTTCTCAGTAACTGCTGAAGCAATCGTTTTGAAAGTTTTAAGAAAAAGTATTTACAATGTGTCAAAGGGATTTCTATTTCTAAAAAAAATGTACATGTAATTGATTGCTTACAGTTGCCAAAGAAACTATATAGAAAAAAAGTTTTAAAATATGCACAAGTGTTTTCTGATTTGGCGTGGACAATCTTGATGAAACTTTTTTTTACAATTAAGGAATAACTGTCTTATTTTTTTTATTTGATGATGTGATCAATCGATTGGCTTGCCTGATAATTTGCATAAACGCCGATCGAGGCGTTTATGCATAAAATTATCACGCAAGCAAATCGATTGACCAGCGTCATGAAATCGAAAAATCTGACAGTTATTCCTTATATTTATATGCTCTTAATTTTGCCAATCCATGTGCTATTAGCCGCGCTTCTTGTCTCTATTTGTCCCGCCCTGCATATAAATTTTTACCGCACCTATCGATGAAGCAGAGCATTAATGAGGAATTAAAATACATTAACTATTTGTAATTTTATCTCGGATAAAGACATTGGAAATGTAAATATTTATGATTAGAAACTCTAGGTGTGAAGTCAACATTCTTAATTTCCTAGCGTTATTTTCAAAAAAGTTAAAATTCCTTAATTTCTAATTTTCATAGTAATTATGCATGCAATCTTTTGGTAACTGTTAAGATTTATTCCTTTTACTGTATCAAAGTGGTTTCCACAGAAAATTGGATTCAATCGCAGTAAATCCATCGCTTTAGCCATCGGAATAAAGTTGTGTTTTAGCTAATCATAGTTTTGTACTCGAGTGTTCTCGTAGATGGTTTTCAAAATCTTCATGATACAGAACTAAAAATCACTAACCTAACTTGTGCATAGAATATTTATTTTTAAGTTTGTCGCTGAAGCCAGGTTGAGAATGATATTTTAGAAATTTTACAAAAGTCACAGTTGCTATCAAGTTTCTCTGTAAAAACCATTCTCCGGTTGGGGAGGTCAAAGAAAGATTATTGTATTCCTTTTTAACATGTTTTATTTAATTCCTTTGGTATATAGGCCTAGAGTATAGATTCTGTGTTATGAATAATGTAACAACAATTTTTCGAATGTGCATGTTATTACCAAATCTAATACATATATTAATTTTCTTTCTTTTAAGTGGCAAATTTTAATTTATTTCTACAGGCTTTTAAACAGTTTTACGTTTTTCTGTCGCTCAGTTTCATTTTAGTGTATCATATGTATTATTTTCTCTTTTTTGAAGATGAAACTCGGATATTGGAGGATTTAGAGAATAAAAGATTTCAGCATTATAGAATACAATGCTTAAATATATATTTTTTTTAAAGCTATATCCTTGTGAAAATCATTTATTGTCAATTTTAAACCTAAACATGATTACACCGGAACTTAAAATTATTCATTCACTGAATTATGTAACCAACGTGCGCTTACATGTAAAAACAATATATGGAACGTTAAAATATTTTCATATGGAGAGTGTAGACATCTGTGACGTCATCGATACTATTTCAACTTTATCTCGAATGTCCTTTGCTCATGGCCTCTATGTTTAAGTCAAAATTATCTTTCTTTGTCCATTATATAGTAATACACACTACCTTACGATAAAATAACTAAATGGTTAGCCAGTGGAATTTTTCAGTGTTTTTTCAACATTTTAAAATTAGATTGTAAGAGTTTTATGATTCATTAAGACTTCAGCAGAAATTAGCCTTCCTTTTCATTATTCAAATGTAAACTTTATCAAATACTTCAATATTTCCAAATTATGCTTTTTTTTTTAGAATTCCCAAAATTATCTTTGATTTCATATACATGTACTATAGATCTCTATCACTCTTTCATATCGACATCCTTTTGACAGGAAGACTGAGAAATAAACCTGATTTTTATCATCCCAACCTGGATAAGGTATTTCACAGAACGAAATGCATTTTTGAAATTCACCCACTAAGGTTAATTCTAAGCTGATGTTGTTTGCCTGAGGAGAGAACACACTGCAGGCATACTTGTATTCCATAGAGGGCTCCTCGAATTCACAGAGACTGGTCAGCTGACGGCCATTGTGGTACCACCTGACCTTGAGTTTACTGAAAATGTCAAGGGCAGACAGCCCAGGTATGTTACACATGGCCTTCAGATTCTCTCCCTCATTTAGCATGGCTGATGTTGGGGTTAGGGACACTGTATACTCCTGAGCCTGAGTAATCCCTAAATATAATAAAATTCATTCAACAATTTAAATTTTGAGTTGACTTTAAAAAAATCATTATAATTTAATTATAATATCCAAAAAACAGAGGAGAAGAACTACAGCATGTTTATGACATCATCAATTGAGTACATCTTTACTCCAAAACCTCTGACCAAGTGACCCTGCATTTCACCATTTCAGAAGAAGACATGCTCCTCATTGCCGATACAGCCCCAGGCCATCCGAACTCCAGAATCTCTTATCCTGAGTCACGATCCTTGTATGGGCTGTGGCAATGCACTTTTAAAAAATAAGCACTTTGAATTTTTTTTCAAGTGCGTTAAAATTGGGACAAAATCAACGCACTTTGAAAAAAAATTCAACGTGCGTTAAATTTGGGACATACTCAATGCACTTTGAAAATTTTTTTCAAAGTGCGTTAAGAGTGTACATCAACATTTTTACCGAGGGGAATTTAACGCACTTTGAAAAAAAAAATATGTATAAAACAAAAACTCTAGACTAAGATTTTGGCAGTTGAGAGAATTAACTTGTAATAAATACAGTGGACCTTCAAATATCCGGACCCCAGATATCCGAATGCTTCAAAATCCGGACAATTTTTCATCGGAACGGAATTTTTAATTGTTATTCTGTCGTGTTTAACTGGTGATTCAGGTATCCGGACACTTCACATATCCGGACAAATTGACTGGGAACCAAAGCGTCCGGATAAATGAGGGTCCACTGTATATCTTTCGAGAAACTTTTTTATTTACATGTATTGATATAACTTTATTGAGATCAAGGAGAAGGTCTCTCAGCCCAACTCTTTTTTTTTCTTTTTTAACTAGCCAACGGTAGCAAATTAAACGTGGACACCCCCCCAAAGGTAAGCCAAAATTTTCAATGTCTATACTGTATATCTTTGTAAAACATTTGTGTGTTTACTAAGCCCCCCTCCCCTGCCTATGCTACACCCACATATATATGTATTTGCATAAATACTCTGACGTTGAAAACTTTCAATAAATAAATGCACGCAAACTTGAAAAAATTAAGTATAAGGTGATTCCACCATCACAATTTTATCGGTTCAAAGTACAAAAACTGCATTTGTTTTCATTTAATATACTTTAAACTTTCCAATTATTGCAAAAAATGTATAGGTCACCATATTATTTAAGATGCCAACCATTAATAAACAGAAGTGTATGTCAACAAAAAAAATCGCACATTTTTTTTTCTAAACAGTATTGTGAAAAATATGTAAAAACTGGTTAAAATGTATAATTCTGATGCTTAGTGTTCCTAAATACTTCCTACTTAAAAGATACTTTTGAATTGTGAATATCAGAGAAACTATTTTACAATAAAGCAAATGCCTAAATGAAGAGACCTAAGAAGGAGTTAATGCCCTTGTCAACATTTTTGAAAGATTGAATAATTTATTAAATATAGAAAATATGCATTTTTAAAATTCTTTAACTTAACAATATTTATCATTACCCCTATTGTAAAGCATTGTTCCAAAAGATATTGTTCTATTAGGTATGAATTTAAACTAATTACAGTTCTTGCAAAAACCTATGACATCATAGGAGGGTGGAATTACTCTAACACCTTAGGAGAGAAAGAAATTTAAAAGTTGAAAAAATCAAAATCGCTCATTTTCACATCCTGATTCGAAGTGACCTTTACACCAAAAGTTCCAACAGGTTCAATTATTTATCACACCTGAGATTTGCAAGAATATCAACATTACACATTTTTTTTTTCAAAGTGCGTTAAGATGGTCGATATTAACGCACTTTGAGGAGAAATTTTATTTTTTCAAAGTGCGTTGATTTGGTCCCAAATTTAACGCACTTTGAAAAAATTTTCAAAGTGCGTTATTACAATGGGCTCATTAGTGTGTTACACGGGAAACGTAATTACAAAGCCAAATGTATTAAACTTAATTTTTTTCATATTGCCTTATAACATTTCCCGTTTTTCTCGAGGCAAAATTTATTAAACGATTTTTGAATTACATGTATTACATTTTGCGCTTTTAGATTTTGTGTCGAGATATACATGTACGCAAATTATAATACGAGAGTTGATCCAAATGCAATGTCACAACTTCAATAAAATTGTTACTAGTCGACGAACAACAACATAATTATAAATCATGGAAGTTATATTTATTTCAAATCAGACCTGAAAATGTTAATTTAAAATTAAAAAAATGCTTTTAAAAAATATAGAATTATATACAATGTGCGAATTTGGTAGTCGCCGCATCAAAATAATGTCATGTTATGGATACTCGCCGTCATACTAAACGTTTCCCAATAAAAATATTTGAGATTCTCGAATATGTTCACAAATTTCTGTTCTTAAATGAATTTTTGGTACAAGTAGCCATAATTGTACATTCACTCTTTTCATAACAAAGTCCTTTGTGAAAATTCCTTGAACAGTATAATAAGACAGTGTTCATATCCATTTACATAACATGCAGATATAGGAATGTCTTTTGACAAATACAGACACCACGATCAACGTTTCCTTCCGAAATCTCTTATTTCAGTCTTTCTGCTATCTGATAATAATTCAATGACCTATCACACTCCCTTAAATCGCTGAAATCATCTATGAACAAGACTCTTCTTTACTTTTTATCATTGTGAGTCTAATCAATCAGTATTACTGTCTATACTGGTAATTTTCTAATTTTGTAATCCTAATCAGATTTTCCTGCAGCCGCTTTCTTTTGCTGAATTTTATCTTAGTATCCATTGGAAGCTTAGGATAAGCTTAAGATAAGCTTGTATCCGCTTAACTATGGTTGTGAGGCAAATACTTTATAATTTGTTTTTACTTGAAAAAGACATTACTGGTAATCTAACAATCAAGCTCTATGATAAATATGATGACTTTAACTTTTCTTATCGTCAAAAAAAAAATGAAGTAAACGTGCAAAATGCATAAGTGCTCGTTACGCCCCACCCCATTTTTACACTTTCTTTGTTCAATGAATCAGAGTCAAATACATTTTTTAAAAATAAAAAAAAATTACAATGGCATCATTTAATCTTAACTGATCATTAGAAAAAAATGCTTATACTTTCATTTTTTTCTTCAAAATTTTTGGGCGATGACACTCTTAAAATGTTTTTTAATATGTTTGTCTTTCTCATCCTACAAAAGAATATTCTTTAAAATGTGACATTTAAATGTTATACGGCAACACCCCCAATGCTCGATGTTTTAAACATCTATAAAATTAATTTCATTTAACATTATTAGACAAAAGTTTCGATGTTAAATAAGATTTATATGTGTGCATATTTTGGTATATTGTATTTGATAATATGACACCAAATACAAAAGATATGGACACTGTGACATTACTTTTGTGACATCATTGTTAGATTTTGCGTTTATAATGAATATGAAGGATATGGAGATACAATGTAACGAACAGTTTTAAATATCCATAAAACAATACAAATAGGAGCAGAGCAAACAAAGACCTCTAAAACATCAGACGTTGGATCAGGTGGCATGGAGGAGCATACCATGCTGACCGGCTACCCCTACGTTTTCTTCCTGTCATGATCGGGAAATAATGGAATAATCCGTCATTAATTCGGTGTATAAATATTGGACCAACAATCAGCATAGAAAACACCAGTCAGTATTTGACTCAATTTTGCGCACTTTAGGGGATAATTTCTCCTCTTTCCAGCATCGGTTTATTAACAACCTTTCACTCCCTAATTCTAGGCACATTGTTTACCTAATGTGTATATTTTATCCATCTCCCAAACATTTATAGTAGTCTCTACAAGTGATAAACTCGCTTGATTAGAATTATTTGTTAGATTGCTGAAAATTCACTTCAAGAGAGTTTATTGCCTGTAGAGACAACTATAAATGGTTGGGAGGTGGATAAAATATACATATTGGCTACAGAATATGTCTACAATTAGGGAGTGATAGGTAGTTTTTGACCAATGCTAGAAAGTGGAGAAATTCTTTCCAAAAGAACGCAAAAAATTTGCGCCGTAAATAGCACCTTTTTTGCATTACGGGATCTGTAGCGTTATGGTCAAAGACAAATATATAAAACCATAACGCTACAGATCTGCAGCTAAAACTGTATTTGCTGACAAGGTCATTGTATCGACCAAAGAACTCATGAAATGATAGCTTTAAATAAGTTTCCTCGTTTCGTCATTCATACTTTGGTCATGCTCTTCCGTATCTAGTCAACTGAGATGTATAAACAACGTATGCAGGTAATGAAGGTAATATTGCTGAATAAGTAAGGGAAGTTGACGATAAGAAAAGTTAAAATCATCATATTTATCATGGAGCTTGATTGTTAGATTACCAGTTACGTCTTTTTCAAGTAAAAACAAATTATAAAGCATATGCCTCACAACCAATGGATATGATAAAATTCAGCAAAAGAAAGTGGCTTCAGGAAAATGTGTTTAGGATTATATTTAACATTGATTTATTTTTCTCGATGAAATTACGTCTTCTCCACAGTGTTATGGCACCATTTTGAAATGTGTTTTTTATTTTTATTTTGAATTGTAAATCGCGTACATGTATTTTTGTATTTATGTTATAATGTGGTAAAAGGAGTTAAAACAAAGTTAAACGTGTATTTAAAAAAAAACAGTTTTAAGAGTGATATTGAATACTGTTTGTTATCTCCATATCCTTCTTGTAATTTCTTAAGGAAAAGTGTATTAATCAGGTCAACTGATTTTATAGCTGTGTGTTTTTCTTTACTTGAGTCAGGCAGTTTTTTCCTTATGTAAGCAAAAATTTCCTCTGTTACTTTGACAACATCAAAGAATGCAAATGTAAATAATAGCTCTGCTGGCATATTTTCCATGATGATTGCTTGTGCGCATCATGGAATATCCCAGCAGAACAATTGCTATTCATAACGCCATGTTCACTGAATAACGTTGTTTATTTCTTTAAAATATTTTATTTGCTCTTCCTTAATTGGTATTTAAAACATCTTATTATTACTGACAAATTAAATGTTCGAATTTCTTCCTGAAAAACTAACAGAAACAAATTTTTATTCACATAATGCATCTACAAAAAGTATTCAATTTCCAAAATTTGAAGTTTATATGAAAATAGTTATACTTACTAAATGTTGATTTTTTCA